GCTATGCTGCTGAATATACTACCTGAACATTCTAGCAAAGATGCTCGCTATATGATTGTTTTCCTCACTACGGCAGCAAGAATCTTATATGCAAAATATTGGGAATCACCAGAGATACCAACTAAGCGAGAACTTGTAAACAAAGTACTAGAGGCTGCAGAACTGGACAAACTGACTCTGTAGATAAAAGGTGCAACGGACTCTATATTTCAGAATACTTGGGTACGGTTCTATAACTGGTATGATAAGTATATCTAGGCAAGTTAAGAATGGACTGAAATGAAATATATACTTAGATCGATAAAGATAGAGATAGATGGTAACACAGGTTACAAGAATATTAGATTAAGGCAGTAATATAAATATCTGTTAAAAATGTAAACAACCCCAGTAAATTTATGTGTGTAATGTGTATATATGTCAATATGTTAATGTGTGTACTTTATGTGTGTATGTGTTATATATTTGAAAAACCTTAATAATAAAAAAAGAGATTGTATCCCATTACTGCCTTTCTCACTCTCTTGTTGACTATAAAGGCCACACTGTTTTTTCTACGGGATTCTTGGCCACAGTAGTAGATACAATGGTCTTCTGAGTTAAATTTGTCCATTCCTGTCCATTTTAGCTCACTGATTCCCACGATGTCGAAGTTCAGTCTTGCCATCTCATTTTCGTCCACATCAAGGTTACCTTGATTCATAGATCTTACATTCCAGGTTCCTATGCAGTATTGTTCCTTGCAGCATTGGACTTTCCTTTCACCATCAGACATCCACAGCTGAGCATCCTTTTGGCATTGGCTCAGCCACTTCACTCTTTCTGGGGTTACTTGTACTTGCCCTCTGCTCTTCCCCAGTAGCATATTGGACACCTTCTGACCTGAGGGGTTCATATTCCGGTTTCAATTTTTTTAGCCTTTTGTTACTGTCCATGGGGTTTTCTTGACAAAGATACTGGAATGGGTTTCCATTTCCTTCTCCAGTGGATCACGTTTTGTCTGAGTTCTCTACTGTGGCCTGTCCATCCTGGGAGGCCCTCCACGGCATAGCCCACAGCCTCATCGAACCACTCAAGCCCCCTCGTCACATCAAGGCAGTGATCCATGAGAGATCCTTCACTCTGAGTCAGTTGTTATTTGTCATCCATTATTTGTCTCTGGATTGTAGGGTCTTTCTCTCTTACTTTTAGATATACAATTTTAATGATGATTTTGTATTTGTATTTTAATACTAATTGGAAAATGTTTAATTTTTAAATTATTTTATTGTTTCTCCCTTTTAGTTTTATCTTGGTGGAATCTCCACCTTATTCTATATAGTCGCTATGGCTTTTCTTTGCTAATGCAATAAATACTGATTGATTGATTGATCTGACAGCAGCTTTCCAACGATCAGCCATAATTTATTGACCCACCACCTCCCCGAGGTAGGAATTTGTGGGACAGCCTTGAAGTTGCTTGCCTCATTTCTGTAAGGTTGGGGACAGAGGGTGGCACTAGAAGAGGGAGTTTCACCATGATATCCTTTGGTATGTGGAGTCCCTCAGAGTGCAATCCTCTCTCCAATGTTATTTAACATCTATATGTGCCCCCTCGTCCAACTGGTATGGCGTTTCAGCTGGTAAAGGCTGGGTTGTCATCAGTATGCAGATGACACCCAGCTGTATCTGTTGATGGACGGACAGCCAGATACCACCCCAGCTATTCTGGCCGAGGGGCTGGAGGCCATGGTTAGATGGTTGAAACAGAGCTGACTGAGACTGAATCCATTTAAGATGGAGGTTCTGTGGCTGGGCAGGGGGGATTTAGGGTTAGGGTGCCAACTCCCAGCTCTTGACAGTGTGCCTTTAACACCAGTGCCGACTGTCAAGAGCCTGGGCATGTTTCTGAATACCTCCTTATCGATGGAGGCCCAGATCATAAATGTTGCTAGACTGGTGTTCCTTCAGCTATGCCAGATTAGGCAACTGGTCCCCTTCCTGTCTTGCCCTGACCTAGCCACAGTGATCCATGCAACGGTCACCTCCAGCATATCCACAGGACCACCTCTCCTGGTATATCCACCAAAGAGCATTAAGCTCAGGAGAGAAGAACTTACTGGTGATCCCTGGCCCAAAAAGTATCCAGCTGTCTACAACCAGTGCCAGGGCTTTTTTGGCCCTGGCACTGATCTGGTGGAGGTCTCTGCCAGATGATATCCATGCTCTGCAGGACCTAATGCAATTCCACAGGGCCTGCAAGACAGAGATGTTCCGCCATGCCTACGGTTGAGGACAGCAACGGTCTCCATCTAGCCTGGCTTCTTCCTTCCTTCTCCCCCCATGGGGCAAAGACACAAATCGGTGTGCCTTTTATGTGCCATCTGTAAACTGTTATTGAATTGCTCAAGATGTGTTACTTGTCTAAACTTGACTGTAAATGTTGTTTGTTTGGAAGTGTTGTTTTCCCCCCTTTGAGCCTTGTGCACGGGGAGGGTGGGGCACAAAACAAAGGAAACCATGAGGGCCCTCAGTTTGCAAGACCTGAGCAAGGCTATTAACGATAGGATGTTTTGGAGGTCATTAACTCATAGGGTCGCCATGAATTGGAAGTGACTCAATAGCACACAACACAGCCCTCTTGATGGTGATTTCAGGCAAATTTTCTTCTTGGGATCAGTTCAGATGGACACATTTCCTATAGGAAGATCCAGGGCTTTTTTTTTGTAGAAAAAGCCCAGCAGGAACTCATTAGCATAATATGCCACACCCAACAGCAGAAACTCATTAGCATATTAGGTCACACCCAGAGAGAAGCTCATTAGCATATTAGGCCACACCCACATGTTACCAGAAGTGTGGTCATCCAGCCACACCCACCTTTTGCTTCTTATTCTGTTTACCTTGTTTGTTGTCAAAACCCAGGGCTTTTTTTGTAGCAGGAACCCTTTGCATGTTATGCTACACACCCCTAATGTAGCCAATCCTAATGAGTTTCTGCTGTTGGGTGTGGCCTATTATGCTAATGAGTTCCAACTCGGGAACCAGCCGGAACTCCGTTCCTGTGCGTTCCTGCCCAAAAATAGCCCTGGGAAGAGCAGTTCCATGTAGGCGATAGCATGAAACTGATTCCTAAACTGTCATAGGTCAGCATTGTACATGTATGTATTTTACTGCATCAATGTGTGTGCCTGGGGAGTATATGGGAAGCTTGTCTGCACTCAGTGAAATATATGTGTGTACAGTATTCCTTGGTGACAATCTCCATGCTTGTTTTCCTACGCAGACCTATGGAGTTTTGCGTAATGTGCAAAGCAGACCTGAGGATTTTGCTGCTGGAGAACTAAAGGGAATCTGAATTTGATTTAACTCTATTAGCCAGCAGGTTATCAGGACATCTGAACAGTTATTCTAGTCTAACAAAGCTAATTTGCCACTACAGAATAAATATAGTGCCTGAAAACTTTTAACTCTGTTCAAGAATATATGTTTTAAAACAATATGAAAAGTATATGTTTTAAAATAGCTTTTGGTTGGCATTAACTGGGTGGGAGTGGAAGGGCTCAGCCTAGTCTGTACTGGAGCTATGCACTGATACTGTTTCTATTTTAAAACGCCAAGAAGATCTAGTCACAGATCAGCTTGGAGTCTGTTCTGACCTGAAGGTGTGCTATTGAGATACTGATGATATATTTGATAACATAATAGGGGTTGTGGTATTAGCACTTCAGAAATTAATTCTGCCACATCTGTAAGATCCCTTTCGTATCTTACAGCCAGTGATGCTGAAGCCATGGGTCGTGGAGTCCCACCTAGTGTATTGCACACCATTGTACAGCTGTCATTTTTCTGCTGCTTCACTGAAGGATCTGCAAAGAGAACAAGGGCTGCGTGCCTTCTGTCTGTGTGCGTGCATGCATGCTGAGAGAAGCAGCAGATCAGTGGGGCAAGATGGATCTTGCTTTAGCATAGGCAGGTTCAGAGACCGTGACTCCTCTTCGTCCTGTCACATGACTGTGATATCATATGAGCTCCTGCGACATACTTCTAGCTGAGTAAGTCCCAGGCTGTTGCCTGTGATTAAAAGGAAAAATTGGAGACACTGGCTTAGGGTCTAGCAAATCTATTGTGGTATGAGTACCTCTTTGTTCTGTTTCAAGCCTTTCAAGGAAGGGAATGGAAAACAAATCAGCCAGTATCATAATGCCCCTGTATAAATCGATGGTGCGGCCACATTTGGAGTACTGTGTACAGTTCTGGTCACCACACCTCAAAAAGGATATTATAGCATTGGAAAAATTGCAGAAAAGGGCAACTAGAATGATAAAAGGGTTGGAACACTTTCCCTATGAAGAAAGGTTAAAATGCTTGGAGAAACAACGGCTGAGGGGTGACATGATCAAGGTTTATAAGATTATGCATGGGATAGAGCCGGTCATACCAGCTGTTACTACCATTAGGTAAGGGGTTAATTGGCCTACTATTAATAAAAAGGATTTAAGGTAGTCATTTATGGCTTGAAAAGTTTTAATAACATCGTTACCTGGCAAAGAAAGGGAGATAGAACAGGTAGAGAATGAAGTACTTTTCTCCCTTTCTCACAATGCAAGAACTCGTGGGCACTCCATGAAATTGTTGAGCGGTCGGGTTAGAACAGATAAAAGGAAGTACTTCTTCACCCAAAGAGTGGGATTCACTGCCACAGGAGGTGGTGGCGGCTACAAGCATGCACAGTTTCAAGAGGGAACTGGATAAACATATGGAACAGAGGTCCATCAGTGGCTATTAGGTACAAGGTATAGATAGGAACTCTTAGTCTGGGGCAAGTGGTGCACTGTATTCTTGGTGCTTGGGGGGGCAACAGTGGGAGGGCTTCTAGTCTCCTGGCCCCACTGGTGGACCTCCTGATGGCACCTGGTATTTTTGGCCACTGTGTGACAGAGTGTTGGACTGGATGGGCTATTGGCCTGATCCAACATTGGCTTCTCTTATGTTCTTATGTTATTTTGTTTTCTTTTCAGTGCCCATTCCCTCAAAAGCCAATGGCACCACCATCTCTGCCCTGACGATGAACAAGGACGCCCTGATTGGAGGGGTGACCAATCCCAATGAGGTCTTCTGCTCCGTGCCAGGCCGCCTCTCCCTCCTCAGCTCCACCTCAAAGTACAAAGTGACTGTTGGTGAGGTCCAGAGGAGGCTGTCGCCCCCCGAGTGTCTCAATGCCTCCCTTCTGGGTGGAGTCCTCCGGAGGTAATCACCCCCCACCCCCAGTCTGAACTTTTACCTGGTGGTGATGGTAGAATAGGATGTAGTACAGGGTCCCCTAATCTTGGTGAGCCAATGGATATTTTTGGAATTTTGAGAATGGGAATTGGGCACCATCACACAATGGCTGCCATGGGGGCAGGGGGCAGTCACAAAATGGCTGTGGTGGTGAGCTGGGAGAATGATGTAAGCTACTTTGGGTCCCCATTGAGAAAGGTGGACTGTAGACAGAATACCAGAATCATAGAATCACAGAGTTGGAAGGGGCCATCCAGTGCAAACCCCTGCTCAATGCAGGAGCAGCCTAGAGCATCCCTGACAAGTGTTTGTCCAGCCGCTGCTTAAAGACTGCCAGTCTTACATAAGTAAATTAAAAAGAGCAAAGGTGGTGTATGAATGAAGTTAAAAATGAAGTAAATATGAAGAAGGGAATAGGCCCCAGGTTAAAGTCAAGGTTAGGGTTGTCAGGTCCTTACCTGGCACTGGTGGGGGGTGGGACGGATCTCTCTGGGAGTGGGGGAGGTGGGGCGACATCACTGCGTGTGGCATCCCCAACATGATGACGTCACACGGAAGTGACGTCATCACACTGGGGATGTCGTGCAGTGATGCTGTGGTATTTGGGGCAAAACTCTATGATGACTATAGAGTTTTGGCCAAAATACCAGAGCGGACCATGACCCCCCTGGCATGATGACATCACTTCTGTGTGACATCATCATGTCAGGGATGTCCGGTGGGCTCATGGGTGTTGGGGCGGGGCTTCCCCTGCCAGCCAGGAGCCTGCAAAATCAGGGCCTCCCCGCTCCCACCTGGGGGCTGGCAACCCTAGTCAAAGTTGGGACAGAGTAAAGCTGGAACAGGCTGGAATGGGCATTAAATAAATAATAGGACGGCAAAAAAAAAAAGCCCACACTAGTGGGATTGGAAATCAAAACACAGAAATATCACACATTTATTAATCCTTTCCAGGCCAAAACGTCTCCGGAACTTCATGGAACAGGCTGGAACAGGCATTAAATTAATATTAGTACCATAAAAAACAGTGGGATGCCTTAAAGACACTCCAGAACAATAGTTTGGAAATCAAAATGTAGAAATATTGTGCCTTTATTAACCCTTTCCAGGCCAAAATGCCACCAGAACACCCAGGAACAGGCCAGAACAGGCCTTAAATAGACAGCTGTTCCACAAAAAATAGTGGGATGCATTACAGACACTCCAGAACAATATTTTGGAAATGAAAATGTGGAATTGTCATACTTTTAGTATCCCTTTCTAGGATAAAATACCTCTGGAACACCCCAGAACAGGCCAAAACAGCCTTAAACAGACAGTAGTTCTGCAAAAAACAGTGGGATGCGTTACAGACAATCAATTTTTTTTTTAGAAATGAAAACATGGAAATGACACACTTTTATTCACTTTTTCTAAGCCGAATGGTTTCGGAGCAGCATGGACGGGCCAGAACTGGCATGAAACAAATAGTGCTGAAGAAAACAGTGGTATGTCTGAGTGACACTGGAGAACAATATTTTAGAAATGAAAACGCCGCAGTCTCACTCTTTGATTTGTAGGGTTGCCAGCTCTGGGTTGGGAAACTCCTGTAGATATGGGGATGGAGTTTGGGAAGCATATGGAGTTTTTGGAGGGGAGGGACCTTAGACGGGGTATGCTACCATGGAAACCATCTTCCAAAGCTGCCCTTTTCTCCAGGGGAACTAATCTCTGTCTGGAGATCAGAAGTTATCCGTGGATATCTCCAGCTACCACGTGGTGGTTGGCCACCCTGTTTATTAACCCTTTTCCAGCTAGGGTTGCCAGCCTCCAGGTGGGGCCTGGGGATCTCCCGCTTTTACCACTGATCCCCAGCCGACAGAGATCAGCTCCCCTGGAGAAAATGGCAGCTTTGAAGGGTGGACTCTATGGCATTGTACCATGCTGAGGCCCCTCCCCTCACCAAACCACACCCTCTCCTGGCTTCACCCCCAACCCAGACTTGGCAACCCTATTTCTAGCAAAGGTAATTGGTATACCATACAAGACAGTTTCAGCCCCCATACCACATAGGAGACCAAAATGAAACTGGAGATTTTCTAACAGAACACCTGTGGGGCAGGAATGGTATTCTGATAGAAAGAAGCTCCCAAAGGGTACAGGAAGAGAATGAGGAGTCAGAAAGAAGCTGCCTGGTTAGACAAAGGGAGGCATCCCCTTCATTAAGAAGATAATACATATACACATCTAGAGCAGTGGTTCTCAACTTTCCTAATGCTGCGACCCTTTAATACAGTTCCTCATGTTGTGGTGACCCCCAACCATAGAATTATTTTTGTTGCTATCATAAGACCATTGAAAATTTGTGTTTTCCGATGGTCGTAGGCGACCCCTGTGAAAGGGTCGTTCAACCCCCAAAGGGATCGCGACCCACAGGTTGAGAACCGCTGATCTAGAGCAATGTAGCAATTTCCAAGGTCCAGGGATGCTAAGTCGCCCTTACTCTAACAAATAAAGCCATGACATTTCATCGTCTTCATTTCTAAAATATTGTTCTAAAGTATCTGTACAAGAAGTCCACGTTTTCATTTCCAAAATATTGTTCTCAAGTGTCTATAATGCATCCCACTGTTTTTTTGTGATATTGTTGTTTTTTGGGCTGTTGCAGCTCTTACCCTGCCTCGTTGAGGTTTCTTGCTCAAATCCTAAAGGCAGCTGGTGCCTGGGAATCCTCAAACTTAACTCTATCATATCCCACGTTTGCAGCCTGCTGTCTTCTGTAGCAGTCTTCTCAAATGATAGGTGAGCCATATTTTTGACATGTTTGAGGCATGGTAGAATAGAAAAAGGTGGTTTTATGTGAACAAAAGGTTGTTTTGTTAGTGTTAGATTTTATGTACTGACCTACTTAATAAACTTTAAATCATAAAAAGGAGTACTACAGAGCTGGTCACTGCCCCCCCCCCAAAAAAAACTGCCACATTATCTCCAAATGGTCTTATGAATCTGTTTGCTGAACAAAAAAACAGCACAACTGTATGGCTTACTATATACTTGGCTTCCCTTTTAGTGTGCAATGGCTCAATGTTCATGACTTTTGTCATGGAAACAGTAATTAAGAAGAAGAAGACTTCTTACTAAGTTCTCTTCTTTTTATTTATGTTTCCATCCACTGAAGTGCCTCCATCTCCCTTCTTTCCTCTTTCAGGGCAAAATCGAAAAATGGAGGAAGATGTTTAAGGGAAAGATTGGAGAAGATTGGGTTAAACCTACCCGCTGGGAGACGTAAAGCAGCAAACGTGACCTTGTTAACGTCCCTGGTAGAAGGTAGGTCTTCTTTTGACCACCATCACAGAGGGTCCTTTGGAGGGAGGTGGAATATTTAGCCCCTAAAGGTCTTCATTGTCTGACTAGAAACAAAAAGTGTTGTGTCTCCTCTCATGTGCAAAGATACAAACAGCCCTGAGGAAAATCATGATGGTCTGTAAATTGCACATACAGCTCCAATTCACATTAGAACCATGCAGGAAGGGGAGGAGAGATTTTAACCCATCAGTCTTTCACTCATTGAAACCAATGACCCTGTATTTTTCTTATAATTTTAAGGGGGTGGGGAAGAAGACCCTTCTTCCTGCTAAAACATGCTAACAACTCAGTGAGACCCATTTTGTGTAGGGGGTTGGGAAGAAAGGGTTGGCAGGTTAAATCCCTTCTCCCTGTTCTGTGTGGTATATTTACCTTTTACAGATGGACAAAGGAATATGATCTTTGACAAATCTGTTTTGGCCCTCAGTGTCACATTTTAATTAAGCATTTTTTTTTTAAAAGGATCCAGTAGTAGGTGATGTGAAGAGTCTCTGAGATCCTGGAGAATTGCTGCAGTCAGAGTAGATAAGATGGCCCTTGACAGACCAAGAGGTCTGTCTCGGCATAAGAGAGGAAGGGGCGGTGGCTTAGAGGCAGAGCATCTGATTAGCATATGTAATGTCCCAGTTGACATCTCCAGTTAAAATTTACTTATTTAATTACGTTTTATTTAATTACATTTTTGAATTGCCTAATCCCCACAACAATGGGGCTCTAGGCAATGTACAGATTTAAAACCAATAAAAACCATAAAAATCATTATCAAAACATATACTTCATTAAATAAAGTCAAGTGGCAAAATTTTATGATTCCCTCCCAGTTCTGGCCTGTGGGTGCCTCGTGGGCATGGTGGGGGGGAGGAAATTAGATCCTTCAGGGGATAGAGATCCGGGAAGGGTGCCAGCCATGATGTAAGCCATCACTGTCCTCAACCAAACGCCTGGCGGAACGTCTCTGCCTTACAGGACCTGCAGAATTGCGTGAGGCCCCACAGGGCCCTGGTGGTATTTGGCAGCGTTCCACCAGGTCGGGGCCAGGGCTGAGAAGGCCCTAGTCCTGGTCGAGGACAGCCAGATCTCTCTAGGGCCAGGGACCACCAGCAAGTTGTTCTGTGAAGAGCATAACATTCTCCCGGGGGTATACCAGAGGAGGCGGTCCCACAGATATATTCGTCCTGGACTGCTCAAGGCCTTAAAGATCAAAAACAAAACCTTGAACTTGAATTGGTGCTCCACTGGAAGCCAGTGCAGCTGGCCAGCACAGGTTGAATATGTGCAGTCTGCGGTGTTCCTGTCAGGACTTACGCTACCACGTTCCGGACCAGTTGGAGCTTCCGGGTCAGTCTCAAGGGCAAGCCAGTGTAAAGCGAGTTACAGTAGTCTACTCTGGAGGTGACCATTGCGTGGATTATTGTGGCTAAGTTCGGGCGGAACAGGAAAGGGGCCAGCTGCCGGGCCTGGCATAGATGGAAAAATGCCATTTTCGCTGTGTGTGTGACCTGGGCCACTATAGTTAAAGAGGCATCCAGGATCACAGTCAAACTCTTGATGGACTGCTCCAGTGTAGGGTTGCCAGGCATCCAGTGGGGGGGAGAAGCTCTGTGTCTGGGAGTCTTGTGTGCGAGTGCCACGATGACGTCACCCAGAAGTGATGTCATCACGCTGGGCACGGCGTCGAGGGACGCTCTAGCGTTTGGTCTTAAAACTCTATGGTACCATAGAGTTTTAAGGTTGAATCCTAGAGTGTCCCCCGACGACGTGCACGGCACAATGACATCACTTCCGGGTGATGTCATCGTGCCAGGCACGTTGGCCCGATTCAGGCACTTTGGGGGTGGAGTTCCCCCTAGTGGCTGGATCTGGGCCAGTGGGTTTGGGGGACCTGGCAGCCCTACGCCAGTGCCAATGGCACCCTGTCAAGAGTAGGTAAGCTGAACCTGAGCCCTGAACCCCTCCCCGCCACAGAACCTCCATCTTTATTGGATTCAGTTTCAACCTGCTCTTTTTTAAACCATCCCACTGCACCAGGAAGTAGGTGATGTTAAAGACCTCAGTCCAAGACTCTGCAGAATTGCTGCCAGTCAGAGCAGCTAAGAACCACTTTGCTAGATCAGTGGTCTGAGTCAGTATGAGTCAGCTTCTTATGGGGAGGGGCTGGAGCTCAATGCAGAAAGTCTGCTTTGCATGCAGAGGGTCCCTGGCTCAATCCTCAGCATTTCAAGTGAAAATGAGACCCTGAAGAGTTGCTGCCAGTTTGAGTAGACAATATGAAGCTTGATAGACCAATGGTCTGACTCAGGGGCCATAGCTCAATGGCAGAGCATGAAGGTCCCTGAGTCAAGATCCCTACATTTAAAAAGGTCAGGTAGGAAGTGATGTGAAAGACCTTTGCCTGAGCCCCTGGAGAGCTACTGCCAGCCAGAGTAGCAAGACTGACTCTATAAAAGGCAGCTTTATGTCTATTACCTTGGATGACTCTTGGGGATGATGGAGAGGACTTGATCACAGCATAATCGGTACAAGCTTGAAGACCTTTATTTCCTGGAACCCCCAAAGACATCTTGGACCTAGAATACTTTTACCTCGAAGCCTGAAGTAGGGCATGTCCCTCCCAGAGTGAGTGGGACTCCCTTGGCTACACTGCCCAATTTTCACACTCCTTACAAGAGAAGGGGGGCAGTAGTGAAGAGGGATCAGGGCAAAGCTCAGATGCCCTGTCTGCCCCCTGTGAATAGGGGGTCTCTTTATTGTGAGTTGGAGGCAAAATGCACATCACCCAAGGTGTATTTTCTGCTTTCCACTACAGTTGCGTGCCTTTGTACTCATTTCAATTTGGCTTCATGACACTGACAGGTAACCAGTGAGATACAGCTCCACGACAAGTCTGAAGGTAAAACGAAGTGAGGCCATTGCTTTCTGCCCTCACTTGGGAGTTTTTGCTAAAAAAAAGGGCGGGGATAAATTGCACCTGGAAAGGAAGAACATCACATAGAAATGGATACTGTGTACAGCATACTCTGTGGGATACTGCGTACACTTCTGGTTGCTGCAGATCAAAAATGACATTGCAGAGCTGGAAGAGGTACAGAAGAGGGGAACCAAGATGATTAAGGGGTTGGAGCCCCTTTCCTATGAGGAAAGACTGAAGAGTCTTGGCATTTTCAGTTTAGAAAACAGGTGACTGGTGGGAAATTATAGAGGTTTATAAAATTATGCATGGGGTGGAGACAGTAGATAGAGAGAATTTATCTCATCTGTAATACTAGAAGTTGATGGGTGAAGCAGTGAAGCCAGACAAAAGAAAGTACTTCACTCAATGAATAATGGATGTAGCGAGTATGGATGGTTTTAAAAGGTGATGAGACAGATTCATAGAGGATAGGTCCATCAATTAGTCATGACAACTAATGAGAATCTCCATGTCCTGAAGTAGCAAACCAGCACTAGGAGGCAACATCAAGGGAAGGCCTCAGCCTCTATACCATTTGTTGGCCCCCCAGAGCAACTGGTTGGCTGTTCTGTGAAACAGGATGCTGGATTAGATGGACCACTGGTCTGATGCAGCAGGGCTCTTTGTGTGCAACTAGATGAACTCACGGCCATGTGTAAGTTTGTTGGTGAAACTTTCCACCAGCAAGACTTAGGCCTCTGTGCTAATTTTGTCATTGGGCTGGCAAAAGATCCTGGAAGCCAAGCCCACACGTTAATTAACGTTATTAATTACTAGGAATAAGGCCTGTTGTGGAAATAAATACAATGAGCTCTAGAAAGATGCTCTGGTAGAGTGCCAAGGCCATGGGCACTCGGCATCAATGTGCTGTGGCGACCTCAGCAGGGTATAAAAGGAGAAGAAGAGAAGAGCTTGGATTTATACCCCACCCTTCACTCAGAGTGGCTTAAAAATTCCTTTCCCTTCCCCTCCCCACAACAGACACCCTGTAAGGTAGGTGGGGCTGAGAGAGCTCTTTCAATTACTGCCCTTTCAAGGACAGCTCTTGTCAAAACTATGGCTTACCCAAGGTCATCCAGCAGTTGCAAGTGGAGGAGTGGGGAATCAAACCCGGTTCTCCCAGATTTGAGTCCACACACTTAACCACTACACCATACTGGCTCTGACACAGAGGCCACCATTTTCCCCAGAGGAACTGATCTCTGCTACCTGAAAAGCAGTTGTAATTTTGAGTAATCTCCAGCCCTCACCTGGAGATTGGCAACAATTGTTACCCAGTGAGAAAGGGCTAGTTTGGAGGGTGGAGTCTATGGCATTGTACCTGTCTGAGGTCCCACCCCTCCTCAAACCTCACCCTCTTCAGGCTTTACCCCTCAAATCTCCATGAATTTCCTAACCTGGAGTTGGCAACCCTATCTCCTTTCTAGCCAAGCATCAACCTACCATTATCTGCCCCTCTGATTTCAGCTTTCCATCTCCTCCCCACTCACTCCTGAAGATCAGTTGTAATTCTGAGTGATTGCCACCCCTCTCCTGAGATTGGCAACAGTGGTTCCCCAGAAGTGAATGGCTGGTTGGGAGGGTGGAGTCTCTGGCATTGTACCTGTCTGAGGCCCCACCTCTCCTCAAACCTCACTCTCTCCAGGTTCCATCCCTCAAATCCGCAGGAATTTCCCACCTGAAGTTGGCAACCCTATCTCCTTCCCAGCCAATCATCAACCTGCCTTAGTTTTCCCCTCACTCTTCAGCTTTCTATCTCCCCCCCCAAACATACCTGCAGCCTCTTCCGTGCTCTGAAGCCCTGACTGCCACAGAGTCCACCATTTTCTCCAGGGGAACTGATCTCTGCCATCTGGAGAGCAGTTGTAATTCTGAGTGATCTCCAGCCCTCACCTGGAGATTGGCAACAATGGTTTTCCAGGAGGAAAAGTAGTCTTTCTCTGCAATGGGGACCAAAGCAGCTTACATCATTCTCCTCTCCCCCTTTTGACTTGCACAACAACCCTGTGAG